TAGGCAGCCACTGGTAATCAATCACAGATGGCCCATGAGATGAAATCTATTTAGCCTCCTATCCATGTCAGTTCTTGTGGCCAATCTCTCTTGCATTTATGTCAGATGTTTTCCTCTTTTCAAGCCAGGAACCCTTGCATCTTCCTCTTCTTTCCCTGCATATGACTTCCATTTACTTCATAGAGTGGAGGTCTGATTAGAAGCCATCAGTTTACCTTTCCACCACCACTACCTGCCTGTTGGCTTCCTCTCTCCTTGGATTAGAGGAAGTGCCCTTCTCCACGCAAGGCCAAACCCTCTACCTGAGCTTTGGCCCCCACCCTTCCTGTGCTCTCAGAACCCTGGCTAGTAATTTTTTCTCAGTCTCCCTCCTGTTGTATTCTTTCCATTACGTTTAAGCATGGTCAGTTCTCTCCAATCTTAAGAAAGGCTGGGTGGGTGAGTGGAAGGAACAATACAGTTACCAAGATTTTATTTTGCCAAGTAAGGGTTTTAAAAGCCCCATTTGCCTTATATCACCATCATTTTTTAAAGCAAAAGATGTTTAATTTCAAACATAGTAGAAAGAGAATTTCAGAGTATAAGCCTGTAAATTGAATAAATTTACTTAGTAAGAAATTATCTACCTTGTACTAATTTTTCTCAGTTATTTGTAGACCAGAGGAAATCCAAGGACCCTTATAATGTTCTTTGGGGACCCTTTAGGCTCAGCTTGTCCAACCGCATGAACCTGGAATTTGGAAATCTGGCTTCCCCTTCCCCTGGGCTGGCATACCCCCCATGGAAGTGGCCTGGCTCATTCCAGAATGTCTGGGTGTGCGGCTGGCCACAGCCGCCTCCTGGAGGGGCAGGGCTTCCATCGGGGCCCCCGGATGTCATCCAAGCCTGCTCAGAGTCATGCATGCCCACACCCCAACCTCCCTGAAGCTGCTGAATAACCTCCAGAAGATGTCGAATAGCACCTTGCTACAGAACAGAAACATCACAGACACTAAGGAAAGTATTCTTCCACAGGATATACCAAGTAAAAAGACACCCTTCTGACAAAATTGTCAACATTTCTGGTAATAATAGTAAGGGCACCAGGATGGGGAAAATGGCCTGGGACCCATATAGCCAGGATTCAAGTTGAAGGTCTGCTTGCAGGGCCTTGAGGCAGCCATTCATCCCCTCTGGGCCTTAGTTTTCAACTGTAAAATGAGTATAATAAAACCCAACTCATGGCGTTATTGTGAAGATCAAAGGTGATGTCATCTAAGAGCCTGGCATGGTGGCTGGCACAGAGCAGTGGTTTGTAGTATAAGATCCCTCCACCATGGTAGAGAGTTTTAACCCTATGATCTAAAATGAGCATATTTAGTACAATCAGATGAGGCAGGCATATTAGCCTCATTTTAAAGATGAGAGACTGAGGCTGTTGAAGGAGAAATGGCTTTCTCTGGCTCTTAGAGGACAGTGGTAGAGTCACGCTTCACACCCAAACATCCTTATTCCAAAGCTCTGATCCTTTGCATGGAATTCCTCTGTCGAGCAGAACAGAGAGGACAGTCTGCCGTCAGCACTGAAAATCCCCATCTGGGCTCTGAGCTCTCAGGGGGAGATTCTGGAGCAGGGGTGGGACAGGGAAGGGTCTGGATAGGCACTGGGGGTGAGGAGGCAGGCAGGAGGAGGTGCTCTTTTTCTCTTTCGCCTTAGGTTATGTGGCCCCTACCCAAAGCTCTATAGCCATGCAGCCTGAGGCTGGCCTCTGAGGCTGGACTGTAGCAGAATGGCAGAATCTTAGCAGGGGCCTAGCTCAGACACCTGGTGGGGTTAGGCTTGGGTGGCCAGGGTGTCTTATAAGTGTGTTTCTGTTTCATATGCTGTTTCCTAGAGACACCCATTGAAACCGGATCTGAGACCTTTGCATGAGCAGACACGTGTCTAGGGAATGGCTAGGCATGTCTGGTGGCAGAGACCCTCCCTCCCTCTCACAGCCTTGGGGTCCTTTGCCTTCTCTGAGGACTGGACAGGGGATGGACAGCAAGAGCCAAACTGACTCAGGTCCCCAGTGCCTGATGGTCTAGTCTTGAGATGGAACTCAGAGGCACCCAGAGAGGACCTGTGGAGTGCAGTGGGTGTGTCTGCTGTTTGCTTATTGCTGAAGAGGGCTTTGCCTGTGTCTGCAGCTAAACCTCAGCTTGCCATAGGATGTGGGGCTCAGGAGTTATACAGCCATAGAATGCAAAAATGCAGGTGTGGACTTCTCTTACCACAGACTGTGCGTAGACACGTCCCATGCCAATAAACTGACAGTTACAGATCTGTTGAGCTGACTCCCTGACTGCACCTAAGCACAGAGCCCATGGATCACAGCTCCCAGACCCAAGAACCAGTTCTGGCTCTATCCCCAATTCACCGTAGCTCCCCCTGTATCCTGGTCTCTGTGGACCTCAGTCTGCCCATGGATATGATGAGGTGGGCAGGCTCACGCTTGGAGGCTGAGCCTGGCTTTGGCATTTTTGAGTCGAGGGTAGATTTGCAGCACAGAGTGGGCCATTTGCTCCAGGCTCAGCTGAGCCAGCAGTGGCAGCTGCCAGCAAGATCTGCACACAGCTCCGGGCTTGCTGTTATTGGAGAATGGGTCTCTGAGGGCTTAGGTGGAGCTCACATTGCCCTGACTTTACTCTGGTCTGTCCTAAGCTTACCAGGCCCAGAGGAGACCAGGATGGGAGGATCTGGTCAACATTACTTATTTGTTCATTCCTTCACTCATTCATTCTTTCATGCACTAAGCTCAAAACTCAGACACTACTGAAAACACAGGGATGATTAAGTGGTGCCTGCCCTCCAGAGCTCAAGGGCAGCTGGGAGACAGCTCTGGCCCTACTTGCCAGCTACACTGTGGGTAGCAGCAGCCTGGAGGCAGGAAGAGGAGGAGGAGGCTGGAGGTGATGGAGGCTTGGACCAGAAAAGGGTCCACAGGGATGGACAGAGTAGATGGGTATGAGTCTTTTTGGTGGTCTGTTAACAGGACCTACCATGGACCAACCGGATTCCAGAACTGAGGAACAAACAAGAGTTGGGCTTGACACCTGCCTGCTGGCCTGGTACTTGAGTGGACATTTGTGTCCCCATGGCCTTGGGTTTTAGGAAAAGGAGGTCAGTGGCCTGGGCCACCCCCACTGCTGTGATTCTCCTGTTTCTGCAGGCTCTCCTGTTTCCTCACCCACAGGATGAGCTGGTGTTAGCTACCCTCCGGCCTGGGCAACTCTGGTCCTGAGCCCTGAGACAGGTGGAGCAGGGAGGCCCTGCCACTCGGGGTGGGGCATGTGGAATGCTAGGTCTCCTACTGGCCTCCCTCAGTGATCCAGCTCACCAGGGGCTTCTCCTTAGCCTGGCGGGGAGCCTGGGGACTGGTTAAGCTCAGAATGGCTCCTTGTTGGTGGTCAGCAAAATGGTGAGTGAGAGGGTGCTTTGGGGAGCTCTTCCCTGCATGCCACCAAAGCTATCCTGACACTTGTCAGTTCCCCAGAACTGTCCTGCAGCTGAAGAGTGGCCTGGCCTCTCCATGCGGTCAGTCCAGGTCCTACTCCTGCTTCCTCTCCCAAGTCCCACTATAGGAATCCCTCCCTTCTCTGAAAACTATGTCCCAATAGCTCCTGGAATCATCAGTGGCCCGAGCGAGTCCTGGCTACTTCTGTTCAGGAGAGCACCCTGAGGCTGCAGGAGAGGAGGGGACTTGCAGCAGTCCAGCCTGGACCCAGACTCTCTGGTCCAGCCACAGGACGGGGCCCTCCCATGAGGCTCCCTTGTGCTGAGAGCTGCGGAGGAGGGAAGACAGGCCCAGACCCTTGGCTCTTGCCCTTCATGTATATGGGATTGAATGGTGGCTGGGTGGGAAGAAGAGGCAGACCCCAAACAATGGACTTGCCCCATTACAAAATCAGGACCATCCTGGGTTAGACCGACAGGCTTTATCCAATTCAGTCTGCCTGGGGCAGGTGGTGTGTGTGGGTAACGGGACCGGGAATGGAGGGACCAGAGGGCAGTGTGCACTCCCCAGGCGTGGGCCATCTGGATTAGTTCTCCCAAAACAGGAGATGATCTCAGTCCATCCAAACTGTGGCAACACAAGCAAGAAATACATATTTGTTATTGTAGCTCCAGAGCAAAAGCTGGCGAATAAAGGAGGCAAATGAAACATCCTGGTGCCAATGTGGACATCACTGCCATCAGCAGAGAAGGACATAGAGAAAGAAAGAGTGAAGGAGAAGAGCGAGAAAGAGCAAGGAGAGGGAGCAGGGAGGGGCGCTGAGCGAGACCCGCACCCGGGCATGTGGACGTCCCTCTGCACGAAGAGGCCAGAGCCCCCAGAAGAAGCATCCTGCTCATGGTCCGCACTGGGATGATCAGACTTGTGTTAATTATCACGATGATGATGATGATGGCAGTGGTAGCTGCCATTTTGATCCAGCTATGTGGTAGATTATTTCAATGTTATCACTAATCCTTACGGCTTTCCTACGAGGTAGTTATTTTCAATGCATCAAATAGTTATTGCTATCACTGCCCATTCACAGAAGAGGGACTTGAGCCTTTGAGAAGGTGCCATGCCAAGGCCATGCAGCCTGGAGGGGCTGGGCTGGGATCTGGAGCCAGGACGCGGGGATGCCAGAGCCCACCTTCCCCACCTCCAGGCCACATGGTCTTGGCCTTGGCTCTGTTGGTGGGCCACGGCTGGGCTGGGCACTGGGAGCTGGCTTCCGTTCTGGGCTCTCAACATGCCTCCTTGGGCATGAAGGGGCCTCAGAGGCTGTCCTGTTGGCCCGAGTCACTCCCCTTGCCCCTGGGTACTATTATGAAAGAATGCTTGACTAGAGGCAGGAAAAGTGCTTTGAGTCCCAGCTCTGCCAAGTGCTGCATGGCTTTTCCTGCTCCATTCTGGCCTCAGCTGTCCCTTTATAAAGCAGAGGCCAGGAGAGGGTCTAACAAATCTCCCAGGCCACTCCAGCCCAAACCTGCTCCGAAGGCAAAGAAGCAGATCTTGTCTCCGTTCTCCTGCAGAAGGGCCATGACCCTCTTCCCCATCCGCTCATTCCTCTTGTAGATGAGCTCCTGGCGGAAGTAGCTGTCGATCTCCTGTGCTGTCACCTGCTCGTGTGGTGGCAGGGTGGTGTTGATAAAGTTGGGCAGCTGTAAAGGCAAGACAGAGGCTGCCTTCAGTTCTTCCTGGAACAAGGTAGGCTTCAAATAAACACATACAGTCTGGGTAAGGTGGAGCAACTTACCTTTATTAAACTCTTACAATGGGCTATCTGTTTTGTATATGTTTTTTATCAGTTCCCAAACCCTTTGAGATGAATGCTGGGATTTTAGTTTTACAAACAAAGAAAGCAAGGGTAGAAGGATCCAGAGACATGTGCAAAATCACAAACTAGTGGCAGAGCATGGATGAGAGCCCTGGACTGCCGCACTCCCACGTGTGCCACCTCTGTGTCACTGCCTCGTTGAACCTCAGCTTCCAGATACTGAGGTCCTGGGAGGCAGGACAGCACGCTGCTCCCCACTGCTGCCACCACAGCACTGAGCCTGGTGCTGGCACATAGAAAGAATCTGGCTTAGCAAGGTGGTACAGAGGGTCAGCTGAGCTGCCTGATGTAGCAGAAAAGCCATGGGGTACGGGATCAGGCTGACCTGGGTTCCAGGCTCTGTTCTGACACTGTGTAACTTTGGCCAAGTTGCTTACATTTTCTGAGCCTCAGTTTCCTCATTTTTAAGGTGTGACTGACAATATTGTGGGGGTTACATGAGGCAATGGGTGTGGTTATGGACTACATTCAGCCCACCCCACACTACAGAGATGAGGTGAGGGGTCACAACCTTCGGCTTTCTCAGTGCTTGGGCCCTGGGTGGCACCATCTGTCACCACTACCATCTCCCATCCCCAACTCCTCTAGTTCATAAAACATAACCCAAATCTCTCCATCCCTCCTCAAGAACTTAAAACTCCAGGACTATGGCTTCCTCCCATAAGGATGGCTTGGAACTGTTAAGATTTCCTAGCTCTGGGCCCACCATCCAAGTGCAGCCACATGGCCCAGGGGAAGCATCACTGACATGCTTTTGAACAAGGCAGAGAGCTACTTGGGTTCAGGGACATGGCCTCTGTCATTCTTGGGCCCCAGCGCCTGGCACAAAGTAGGTGACCAGGGCAGGTTTCTGGCCCCTTGGCCGTAAGGTGGTGCTGCTCCTCCTCACCACATTCCCTCTGCCTGTGCTCTTTCACTCCCAACACTGTGCCTTCCTGACCTGATGTTCGGTCCGGGGGTTCCAGCACCCCCAAGGTGGGTGGGGACTGAGAGGAAGCCGCGGACCATTGAGGAGGGTCAGAACATATTCTCTTTCCCTGAAACCTGTCAATGTCATTCCAGTCTCCAAGGTCTTGTGTGCAGGATGTGTTCCATCTGGTGTCTCTTCCTCCATTTCTCTGTCTTTATTAATCCAGGCATAAAGCACAGGACATGAGGCCTGCTGGCTGATGGGCTAGCTAGATGGAGAGTCTGCATGAGGAGATTAAATTCCTGCAGGTATTAGCACCCAAGGGTCATGTGGCTCAGCCACATGGCTTCTAGAGCCACTGATAAGTTGTCAACACTCTTTCTGAGGCAAATGGAGATGTCAATGGAGGCTGAACCTTGGGAGACTCAGAGGGGGCCAAGACATCTGTCTCTGATATCTGCTGGCCACAGACCAGTGCATTCCCTAGAAGGAAAGGGGAGAGGTTTCCTGCCAGAAAGGTCTGATTTGGTGTTTTAGGATGACAAGATATGACTGGAGCAACCTAACTTGAGCAATGCACAACCTGCAAAGCTGTATGTGGCAACCTGCCTGTGCCCAGCCCGGGCCAGCAGAGTTGGTGCCTGAGCACTATTTGGCAACTTGATAAATGAGGGAATGGAGTTCCTAGCCCCTCCACCAACCGTTGGAGGGCTGATTGACAGCCCTGACAAAACAGGCTATCCTTGAACTTGGTATAGCTCTACAAAAGGAAACACTGCAGGATTCTCATTGTGGGGGTGGGGAGGGGGTGAGGTTGGAGTGGGTGGGCTGTGGCTCTGATAGAGGCTATGGCCCAGCAGGATTATTTCTGGTAACATAGCCTTTACAGTCTTCTCTCCATTCCTGAGTATGAGCAAGAATGTGGGATGATGTTGTACCAACAAATAAACATTTGTTCAGTCAGTGAATGAATGAGTGAATGAGTGAATGAGTGAGCTGAGAGGCTGGAGAGTTACAGTGGATATAAATGTGGGTCCTAAAGTCAGATAGCCAGGACAACTTGGGCTGGAATTCCTCTTTGGCTGCTTACTAGCTGGAGGCCTCTCTATAACCAGCAAGTTACTTGGACTCTCCGGGACTCAGTTTCCAAACTGGTAATATGTGGGTAATATATGTTCTTGTAGGAACTACAGGAGCTCAGGTTTGGAAAGTGCTTAGCACAGTGCATGGCACAAGGAAGTCTTGACTAAACATCTGCTTTAAACAACTAGCCTGGGGATGGGGCTGGCTTCCTCAGCTTTCTGGAAGCTGCAGTGAGGGGGTTGCTGGGCAGGGGACAGAGAGTAAGATGACAAGTAGAGGCTTTCAGAACCATCAGAGAGCCATGAAGGCAGCATTCTTTTTCCCTTCCCTTCTGCCAAGAGTCCAAGCAGACTTCTCTGCTTCCTGACAATGAATGTGCATTTGTGGAACGATGAATCTCCATTCATTCCTCAGTGAGCTAAAGACATTTTAAAAGGACAAGAACCAGAAAGGTCAATGTCAAAGCCGTGAAGAAACTGGGCTAGACCCTTGGGTTCCCTGGGCTCCCCAGCTGCTGGCTAATGTCCTCTGCACATTTCATGCTGATGGGCCCTGCCAAGGATGGGGCCCAGGTTTAGCCCAGGGCTGGGATGGGAGCAAATTAATGATGTCATTAGACTTGTTGGGAGCCTTAAATCTCCTGTGACAAGGTTAAGTGCAGGATGCATAACATTTTAAAGAGGAAACGTCAGGTCCCCAGGACCCTAGAGTGTTGGGTCTGAGATAGGTTGATGAGAAGTGGGGCAGGCAGAGTTGGGGTGGGGCCATGGGGAATGACTTCAGCATAGGACCCCTGACCTACAACTAGGGCTGGGGCAGGTCTGCATGTCAAGGGCTCAGGTCTGCTGATTTCTCTGACCCCAGTGGCCTCATCTTTTCTCTTTATCCCCTCCATCTAACAGACACCTCTGAGAAACTCCCTGGCTAGGCCCTGTGTCAGGCTAGAGAGCCACAGAGCCCCCTCAGACAGCACCCTCAGTCTGCTGCCCTGGATAAGGCTCACAGCCCAGTGGGGGCGTAGGAATACTTTGAGAGGGCAACGAGGGGTGTGGGCGCCTGGAGGACACACCTAACAGGGTGACCACATGCTTTGGAATATTCAGGACAGTCCAGGTTCATGGCTAGGCTAGATTAATCCTTGTCTGTTAATTATTCTGACTCTTAATTATGTTTGATTTTTCATTCTCAAAAGTGTGCATACAGATGATAAACATGGCTGCTTTACACCAAACACAAGCTGGGGGCTCAGACAAGGCTTCCAGGGGACAAGCCTCTGTATCAGCCTGCTGATTTCAGGGTCCTGATGGTGCAGGGGACCTGGAAGCTGCAGGAAGCTGGGGCTTCAGTCACTTCTGAAGGTGGGGTCGGTGAGGGGAAGGGAAGCAAAGTGGGTCAAGGCTGCAGTGCATCTGGTCCCTGTACCCTATCCTGGCCCTGCACCTGTCCTGCCCCAGTCTCCAGAGGCTGCTCCATTACCCTCTGCGCTGCAGCCAGAGGCATCTTTCTGACCATGTCACCCTCCAGCTTGAACACTGCAGGGTTTCCACCCCTCAGCAGGCATTCTCACACCTAAATGATCTGCCCTCTGCTCTGTAGATCATTCCTTGGGACCTCCCACTTTTTTGTGATCCCACTAGGCTGCCTGCTCTGCCTACCAACCCTCCCTCTGACCCCACCTTGTGTACCCCACTCTTAAGCTTAGCTCCAATATCACTTTCTCCCTGAAGCCTTTCCCACCCGCAGGCGGTGACTGTACCTCTACAGCCTTTGTGACCTCAGCCCGCAAGAGCCTTCAGGCCTCCAGCTGCAAATGCAGCCCCATGTCTCCCAGACTCATCTTCAGCGCACGGGCACTGGATTTAGCCTTGCTGCCTTGATACTAGGCTCTTCTGTGTTGGGCAGGGCTGCCTAGTCCCTCCCTTGAGGGTTAAGCTCTGCCTGCGCACCCCTGGGTGCAGCCTGCATTACTATTCTAATTGAGGTGGACCAGTCCACCTGTACCCACTGTCCCCCTTCAGGAACAGGCACTGCCAGGGACCCCTGATGCAGTTCACCCACCAGAGACACATCAGTGGTTCTGGACGCAAGCTCAAAATCAGCTTGCCATGCTGAGGTCACCCTATTCCTCTGCCTCTCAGCTTAGTGTCAGACACAGCTGGGCCAGGGCCTTGCCAGCGTCCTGCACACCCTCTCCCCAGCCCAGCCCTATCCTGGCCAGGCAATTCTGAGTGATTACCACGTCTCCCTCTGCAGCAGAGCTAGCTGGCGCCCCAGCCTCTCTGCCAGTGCATGACACGGGGGCGGGCTCTGTCACAGGGTGGATGGCTAGTGAAATGCCTATGAGCCTTGTGGTGTCCGGGTTCTTCTCTCCTTCCACCCTCCTTCACCACGGAGAGTCAGAGTTCCCAGAATCCTGAGCCTCCTCCGGCAGCGTCTCCAGACTCTTCCTCTTTCACTGTCCATAGTACACCAAGCACAACAGACTCCTGCAGTCATTCCTGTGACTGTTGCTTGTTGATGCTCAGTATGTGCCAGGCCATGTGTGGGGCACCAGGGACTGAGGGGAGCAACACACTCTTGCCCTCGAGGGACTCAGGGCCTAGCAGGGCAGCATGCACACAGAGCATCACGGCCGGTCCCTGGCCATGCCTCCTGTCCAGATTCTCACCTCCTCCTGCTTGTTCTCACCTCCAGCTTGTGCACGTGTGGTTTCCTCTGCTGGAAACTTCTTCCTCCTCCTGTCTGTGGGGAATTTAGGTTCTCCTCTGACCTCTCAGCTTATAGGAATCTTTCCTTCTCTCCCAAGTCCCAGCCCCTACCCACAAGCCTATCTAAATTCCTGCTCCTGCCACAGGCAACACGTGCATCTCCTTCTTCCCTCATGGCAAGGATCCCATTTTGATGCAATTCCTTATCAAATCTCCCCATCTCTCCTCTGAGATCGTCAGCCTGACGAGGGCAGCTGTCTCTGGTTCCTCTCCCCTATACCCCTTTTACACACTGTGGCTGGCATTTATAAATGATTTTGTTCATTCATTCATCAAATATTTACTGAGTTCTGCTCTGTGCCAGGCACCACTCTAGCGAGTTGGAATATATCGATGAATACAACAGACCCAATTCCCTGCCCTCAGGGATGCATGGTGGGGAAGGAAGGCAATAAAGAATCACTACTCAATGAATCAAGATATAAAAGTGTGCAAGAAGATGAGAAAGGCCATGGGGAAAAAATGGAGCATAATAAAGGGGTTGAGAGTATAGGAGGGGGTGTCAGGCTGCAATTCTAGAAGGGATAGTTGGGGTCTGTCTCACTGGACAGTGATATTTCACTTAAATCCTGAAGGCAGATAGGAAGTGAGCCATAATGATAATCAGGGAAGGGCATTCCTGGCAGAGGGAACAGCCAGTGAGAAGGTGAAGGAATGTGCCAGGTGGGAACAGCAGGAAGTTCCATGCAGGTGGAGTGGTGTGTGTGTGTGTGTGTGTGTGTGTGTGTGTGGAAGGACATGGAGCTGGGGGTAGGGGAAAACCACAGGGCCAAGTAGGCCATTGTAGAAACTCTGGCTTTTACCCTGAAAAAAATGGGGAGCCATTGCAGAGTCCTGAGTGGAGATGTGGTCTGCCCTAACCTCACTGCTCCTTGAGTGCATGGGCAATCAAGCACTAGGAAGCAGAAAGCACAGGGGGCTAGTGGTGCCAGGAGAATCCCTAACTCTATGTGGGGCGGTCAGGGAGGGTTTCTCTAGGGAGGTAACATTTGACCATGGCCAGGTGAGCAGAGAGCAGGAGGGAGGAGCTGAGCTCAGGCACCAGCGAGAAAGGGCGAACTACTTTGGGGAAGAGCTACAAGTGGCCCAGGTCAGCAGAGCAAGGCCTGTGCGGTGGGGACCCAGGCTGTGACAGTCAGCAGGGCTCAGGACCCAGAGAGCCTTGAATTCTGGATGAAGTATCTTGGAATTTATCCTGAGGGAAATGGGGAAGCCTGGTGGAGCTGCTCAGCTCCTTGGGGTCCTCTTCACTGTCTGTCCAGCCTGATGGCAATCTTTCCCCTAGGTCTTGAATCAAGGCCAGTACCCTGGGCTGGACTCAAGCCTAGGCTCTAACTGTGGGCTTTTCCCTCCCTGGGCTTTAATTTCCCTGGTTGTTAAACTGAACCCCTCAGAGGCACCCCTATTGTTACCAGCTAAGTTTCTAGGGTCTAGGCCAAAAAGCCACATACACCAAGCTCAAGTGTTGCTCTTGATAACTTGATAACTCAACAGCTAGTAAGTCGTGTGACTTTGAGCAAGTCTCTTCACCTCCCCAAGTCTCAGTTTCTCCATCTGTAAAATGGGATACCCATAGCTCCTGCTTGCCATGGGCAGAGGGAAGATTGCATGCAAGGCTGCATGCGTCTGGCATGCAGTGGGTGTCTAATAAAGGCCAGGTGGGTTCATATAGGCCTGGCCTTTGGAACTGGGGACCCAGAGGCTATCCAGCCTGGAGGAGGGAAGCCTCACCTGGGATGTGTCATGGTTGAAGATGACAGCGTTGAGATCCCCGCAGTTATAATGCTTGATGAGGTCCTCCGTGGTGTAGGGTGCCTGCAGGCTTCCTGCCCGCACGCTTTCATGCTGCAGCAGGGTCTGGTTCAGGGCAAACAGAACCTGGAGAGGAAAGGCAGTAGAATAAGGGTTGTGCTCAGGGACTCTGGCTGAGGTCCCTGACACCTCCAGGACCAGCCCTCCCCACCTGGACTTCGGGCAACAGGCCTTGAAACACAGAAGGTGTCTGGGGCCTGGCAGCAGCGAGCAGAGCCTGAATGTTTCCTTATTTCCTACTCCTTACTCACTGGCCTCTTAACACATTCAACCTGCTCTCAGCTCCAGCCCTTTGCCCACACAGGTCCCCAGTTCCAGCTATCAACATCTTATCTAATAATGTGACCAAACGAGAACCCTGCTTGTGTCTGGGTTTTGGAATGAAGGATGAGTTTTTCTTTTGACTCCTTTTTTTTCCTGTGCTTAGAAAAGTTCTAGAATGAGCACAGACTAATTCTGTAAGCAAAAGCACTCCCAAACAAACCAAAACAAAGGAACAGAACAAACAGAAAGCCCACTTATGTCAAGGTTCAACCCAAAGGCTACCTCTTACAGAAGATGCCCTCACACCAGGCCAAGGGCCTAGGCGCCCAAAGGCCCCAGCAGCCAGTGCTCTGAGGCAGAGCCACACCTCCACTCAGCACATGCTTCCTCAAGCGCCTGTGAGCTCGGGCCACCATGCCGGGTCCCAGGGACACAGCTGGGCTCCAGCCAGATCTGCCAGGCATCAGGATCACTTGGAGCGCTATATAAACATCTCAGATGCCCAGGCCCAACCCCCAGACCTGGAATCTCTGAAGTAGAACCCAGTATATGTATTTTCAACAGGCTCCCTGGGAACTTCTTTGGTGGTTTGATTGCTGCTTGCATTTAAGGACCATGGCTCTACAGAACACAGCTGTCTGAGGTGCAAGGGCCCTGGGAGATTATCTGAAATGTCTCATTTTAGATGGGGAGACTGAGGCCCATGAGGGGAAGGGACTTCCTCTCTTCTGCACAGCTGGGACAAGCTAGCTTCTAGCAACAATGTATCCCAGACTCCACTGGTCAACAAAAGGGAGGAGCTTGACCACTTACTTGGGTTCCTTGGCACAGAAATAGGGGAAAACATGTTGCAATTCCCATGCAAAAGATCAGGGGGCAGTCTCAGGCCATCTGACCTTGCTCTTTGCCCAGCCCCAGTCTGCCCATCAGTCCTCAGGCCCAGCTCATCTTGTTTGAACACCACCCCCAGCCTCTTGGTCTGCACCAGTTCAGGCCCAGCATCCCTCACTGGGTCCACTGCTACCTGTTCCCTCCCTGCCAACCTCTCCCCACACCTATCCCATATTCCTTTGCCATATTCATCTTTTAAAAGCATAAATCTGGCAGTGCCTTCCTCTTTTTTGCTCAAAACTTTCCAGGTGCAGTTTGCTCTGAGGATAAAGGCCCAGCTGTTCAGCAGAGCCTGCAAAGCAGTGACCTGGACACTGCTGTGGTCAGTGACCTCATTTCCTACCCAGCCCTTGTGTCTCCAAATGCTCACTACTCAGCAGTCTTCTGTCTCTGCTCTTTGTATGTGCTATTCCCTGGCATGGAAAAACTCCCACGTCCCTTCTCCACTTGCAAATTCAGACTTGGCCTTCCAGAATCTTCTTGGATGTCTCCTCAATGAAGCTTCTCTGATTACCTGGGTTAGGCCCCTTCCTGGGGCCCTTAACAGTCTCCCTGTATGGCAGACTGATACAATAATAGTCCCAAACCTTAACCCTTCCCTGTATTCATCCCTTGGCTCTGGAACACTGTAGCACCTTCCCATTCTGACTCTGCCCTTGCTTATGGCCCATGAGATGTTAGTAGCCATTATAAACAGAAGCCTGCAAAGCACCAATATGCTGCTGCTGCCTCTTGCACCCCCACCATTGCCCTGAGAGCAGCCCAGGCCAGCCTGCTGGAGGGTGTGAGACATGTAGGGCAGAGTCAGATTGCTTCTCTTGTCCCACCAAGGCCACCCTACTCCAGCCAATAGCTAGCCGGCTCCCAGACACATGGGTAAGCCCAGACAAGTCCAGCAGAACCTACATGAGATAGAACCAGACACCTGAGCAAATACTTTTGCTGTGGCTACAGACAATACAGTTATGGGGATAGATAAGTGCCTACCCTGCTTCCTTCCACCACGGCCTGAACATTAGATTGTAACTGCTTTTCAGCTACCTGTCTCTCCCATTAGGCAATGAGCTTCTTGAAGACAGGAAGTGCATCTTATTCATTTGTGTATTTGCAACTCAGGATGGTTCCCTGTAAAGAGGTGGTTTCACCCCAACCTTTCCTTAGCACCTCAGTGCCTCCTTAGTGCCACCTGCTGTGGTCACTTTGTAGTTCAAGGCTGCCTATTGAGCCCTTCAGACTAGCCCCTAGAAGTTGGGCACTCTGCATGCCACCACAACATGGCAGAAGTTCCCACCAGTGACATAAGCCACGTGGTTCTGGAACATAACCTGAACAGAAACTCTTGCTAGGTATACAAAAGTCTGGCCAAAATACTGACATGGGCAATGGGGCCAAGATTGCTGCTGTGAGATCACCTCTCGCTTTTGTTGCTGGCAGGCAGGAGAGCTGGACTGTATTGGGATACCACAGCCCAGGCTGTCCCCCTAATGAGCTGGCTGGTGATGAGGTCAGATCCCACGTCCGGGCCTTCTCTCAGCTCTGGCCACCACCCTGAAATCGATCTGTAGCCACCTGGTGTGGAGTGCTGATGGCAGCGTGGAAGCTGGGAATGGATCACAGGAGGCTGTGGCCCTGCTGCTGTGACATCACTAAGGCAACAGGCGCTTCCTCCCACATGGTACATGCCTTGGATGGAAGAGTTTGTGTTGAGCTGGGGTGCTCTCCTGCTCTGGGGCACTGGACACACAGCCTTCCTGTGACTATGCCTGACCACTGCAGACGCCTGCTGCTCCTCGGAGTCAGTACCTCCTGGCCGGTGAAGGACCTTCCTAGATACATGGAGTCCCTTCTGCGGTCATGTGGCTCTTGTGGAGCTGGGAGGTGTTCTAGCAAATTAAGCATGTTACAATCTGTAGAGTGCTGAGAACAGTTCTGGCATGTAATAAGGGCTGGATTAAAGCTTGGAAAATAAAGCTAGGAAGAAAATAGTTAGACCTGAGCCTTCCCAGATTGGAGCTGGAAGGGCTCTTAGAGGTCATCTAGTCCCATGGTTTTTTAAACCTTTTTTGGCCATGGAATCCTTTCTCTTTATTATTGTTTTCTGAAGGAACCTTACTTGGAACTCAGTATGTGGAGCAGATAAAAATGGAAACTTCCCTGATTGATGAAAGGGAGACAGAAGCCTGGCCTGAAGTCCGGCCAGCTCAATGCCCCCTGCAACAGGGACTCCAAGGCTTCTCTGTGGAACCCACGGGTGCCCTGGAGACCAGTTTGAGAACCAGTGATCTTATTCTGTGCCCTCACCATACAGAAGAGGAGAGGGGGCAGGATGGAGCTTGCCCAGGGCCACACAGTGAGTGGGGGGCAGGGCAGGCTCAAAGCTGAGTCTCCCGTCCCCCAGATCAGGACCCTTTGCAGGGCCCCACTCCACAGTGTGGGACTGGATTTCTGAATGTCCACTGCTACAGCTCACATTCGTCTCACAAACACTGCCACAGCCATTTTCTTTCTGGAGCCTTGTGAAATAGCCAGCGAGAGCTGGGAAGTATTTACTATCAGCATGTTGCACACAGGAAACAGAGGCCAGTGCCTCACAGCCAGAGTGTGGTGGGGCTGGGACTGAAGCCCAAGCCTGTCATCCAGGTGTGATTCGTTGCCTCCCATAGACCCTCCTGCTTTTCTTGGTCTTGGCATGTACCCAAGGAAGTGTTCATGTCCGGTGATTCCCTGCTGCCTGCCTGTCTGGACTGAGAGCTTGGCGAGGGCAGGGAGCTCACTCACAGCTGAGCAGCAGGCAGTCGGGAACCGCTTCGGGAGGAAGGGTGCTGCCCCTGACTCTCATGCCCCCTTGCATCGTATCCAGCCTTTGCAGTTCATGAAGCAGTCATCATCTATTTAGTGCTGGGCTCACTATGTTTATTGAGCACCTACTATGTGTCAGGAACCCTCTAAGCTCATATTAACTTACTAATCTTTAGAGCAAGTCGGAAGCAAGTTTAGTATTAGCTCCATTTCATCAATTTAAAAAAATGTAGCAGAGACATTACATAACTCACCAAAGGTGACAGAGCTGCAGAGGGGTGGGACATGCATTTGGGACTGGGCATTCGGCCCTGGAATGTGTCCTCGTCCTCTGAGTTATCCGCTGCTGGGGTGCCTCCCTCCGCTCTCCCTGGGAGAGAGGCAGTAGGGACAGAGTCCCTGCTCACAGACAGGAAACCAAAGAAGGAGAGGTAAGAGAGGGGCCCAGGGCCACATGGCTTGTAAAGGACAGAGCTGGGCTTTGAAATGATGTCTGTCCGCCTCCACCCCAGGTTTCCACAACCAGAACTTCAAATACTTTCTCCTTCACGAGTGTTCTTGGTGCTTCCAACATGCATAGGGAAGCTACATTCACTCATTCTTTCAATGAACATTTACTTTCTGGGATCTGGGGTTGACAGATTAACGGATTTGGCTTCCGCCCACATACAGCTCACTGTCGAGGGAGATGTGCCAACCAGCCATGACAGTGGAGGGTGGTAAGTGGGACCCCTCAGGCCCTGTGCAGAGGCACAGAAGTATCCTGCCCTGATTTCTGCCTCCCTCCCTGTACCGTGAATTCCCAAGCCTGGCACTACTCACAGGCTCCCGGGCCCCCACGCCTTCGGCTCCCAGCCACTTTAGAATAACAAACCCTCTTCCTCCGAAGCCTCGGTGGCCCACTCTAGGATAATGTTTATGATAAGGCTTTGACATGGAATAACAAACATTGGGTGAAGGCTAGAGCTGCCTCACTCCTGCTGGATGGTGGGTGTGGTGGCCCAGCCATCAAGATGCCCTAAGCTTCCGAGTGGCTCCCCTCACCAGTGCTCACTAGCCTGGAGCTGGCCCAGGAGCTGGTTGGCAGAACATAGGCCTAGAATTTAAACATC